AGTATAGTGGACTGGGGCTGTATGTATGCAGACAAGCCTGTGATTACTAGGATATGTCCAGTGTTAGGTTCCACCAATGTGGCACTGAGTGTCAAAGCAAAGGCCTTTGCGTGTTACGTTGTCTTCTTCTCACCAAAAGAAATCATGCTCTTTTTTAGGTTACCTAATATTGGGGTGATTGTTGGTGAAGCCAGTCCCTTGTTCTCAAGGCTGATGCTAAGCTGAGTCAGTTCTGAGTCTCAAAGTCACAAGGATCTGAGCAATCTCAGGGATGGTCCAGCACCTGCTCTGCAGCTGATAATAATGCAGGCTGAACATGAACTCATCTCACAGTGATATAGGTATCTGCCTAGCGTGGGTCTAGAGGCTGTACCGGTGAGTACTGGTACAGAGACAACTCCTTTGCTCAGGGTTGGAGAATTGATGGTAGAGATACGTGTTTCCACTTCCAATGTTCACAATGGGTTGGATTTCACCTGAGTTTCATAGCCACCATGACCTATGCAATAGGGGGGCAAAATACCTCACCCAAGGCTAACAGTGATGCAAGCCAAACTTGGGTCTGTCACACCTGATGCCAGAGGTGGCCTTGTGAATCTTGTCCTGAGTACAGGGGCCTGTGTTTTCTGGGTCTCACCATGATGATAACAGTGCTGAACATTAAGGAAAAGTAGTCGCTTTCAGGTCCTGCTCTCCAGAAGGTAGAATCTTCTTCTCCTCTTCGGCATCCAAGGCTGGTAGGGAAGGGGTGGCAGTGGTACCTTGGCTAACTAGCTAATGTAGCTTCAGCAGCTTAACTGTTTGGCACTAAGCTTTACCAATTAGATTCGGAATCTAAGGGTGGGGCTTAAGTGTTATTTCTCCCTTCACTTAGTGAAAGGTGTCTCCCTCCATGATGGGTACTTTTTAGTTGAGGGAAGGAATCACAGAAACTACTTATTTCCTTGTGCCTTCTTTAATCTTTTCCCATCCTTTTTTTTCCTGTATTTTTTAATTAGCCTTCTCATTTGACTTTCTCAGATCTCATTGGTAGGTTGTGTGCCTAGAGGGAGGCAGTCCCAAGGGAATTAACTCATCTGTCATCTTGCTTCACTATGAAATTTCCAATCATTCAATCCATCAGTCAAATCTCAATCATCATTAATACTGTATGAACATATTTGAACTAGAATCAGAAAAAGGAAATTTCATAATTACTATTAACATTACCTACATATCTCTTAAGGTGACTTTAATCTATAGGTTCTTTGTCTATTTCTTTTGTTTCCTTGTGATTTTCTTTTTTCTTTTTTGCTAGTCCTGGGGCTTGAACTCAGGGCCTGGGAACTGTCCCTGAGCTTCTTTTGCTCAAGCCTAGCATTTTACCACTCGAGCCACAGCGATGTTTCTGGTTTTCTCTACTTATGTGGTACTGAGGAATCGAACCCAGGGCTTCATGCGTGCTAGGCAAGAACTCTACTACTGAGCCACCTTTCCAGCCCCTTCCTTGTAGATTTTCTGTGGAAGAAATTATTGCTTGTCAAAAAGAGTTTTCACTGTGGGTTTCACGGACCATGTAATCATTCAACCTGAGTTGTTGTCACATATGCTCAGCCGTGGGTATGGTTTTGTTTTGACTTGTTCGTGTTTGGCATGCTTCTTAAGGGGATGCCCCTGGGCAATAGAATCTGCTGTGTCTCCACATGCAGATGGAGGTCTGAATTCCCGGGATTTCATGTCTTTCTGATGTGTTTGTTCAGCAATGCCTGACTGGTTTGGGGAGTATGAGGACCCAGCTCGCTGGTCCCATGTCACTTCAGCTCCGAGGCGTATTTTCCACTCCAGCTTCTCTGGTCGCATCAGCAGGAAACCAAGGTTTCTTCTCCTGCCCTATCCTGCTTCCCCCAGGTCCTCACTAGTTTCCCTCAGAAGCACAGCCCTAATAAACTAATTTTCAAAGAAACCCTCTTCTCAGTGAGTGAATCCAAGGAGCCTAAGCAAGAACAGCTTCCAGTTGTGAGATGCAGGGATCAGCAGCCTGAAGTAAACAAAACCACTGTACTGGTGGTAAATAGAGAGCACTAGTAGTTCTTGCCATGATATAATGTTATAGTTACCATCACTTGGTATGTTTCTGAAGCTGCTTTCTTAGGTCTGAAGCTAGCAATACCATAACAATGTTTTATGTTCTTGAACTCACAGTTCTCTAAGACCAGTGCTTTGCTAGGAAAGCCCAAGGCCTGCTATGTGCCAATTGCTGAGGGAAGTGCATTCCCAAGAGTTTTGCGGTCAGTCGCTGGTAAACCACGACAAAAGGATTCACCGTAAACCAGAGGGACATGGTGGATGACTGTGATGGTTAATGTTGGATGTTGACATGGAGAGTGGTTTCAGATGTGGTTAATATTTAAATGAGTGACCTTAGAACAAAAGAATTACTCTCTGGATTGTGGTAGGACTTATTTTCTGTGCTGTGGATGGGCTTTACCAAATCAGTGGAAGATCTTAGTAGCACTAGAATGTCCAGCCTCCCAAAGTAAGAGGAAATTATCCAAAAGACCAACTTCACATTTCATCTGTACCGTCAGATCTCCAGGGTTTCTGCCTACTGACTTTCAGACTGGAGCTACACCATCAGCTTCCCTGGGTCTTGAGCATGGTGAGACATCTCATGCCTATAATCCTAGCTACTCAGGAGACTGAGATCAGGAACAGCATAGTTCAAGGCCAGGCCAGGGAAAAGGCTAGCAAGATTTCCCATAAAGTATACTTAGAAGGATCATGGTCCAGGCTAACATGACTGTAAACATAGGACCCCATTCAAAAATAACTAAATCAAAAAAAGCTGGAGACATGGTTCAAATGGTAGAGTACCTGCCTAGCAAGTGCAAGGCCCTGAAGAACCCCTCCCCACCTCCCCACACACACACATTCTAGATCCCTCCAAAAAAAAGAGGAGGGAAAGAAGAAATACTAAAAGGAGGAGGAACTTAAAAGGGCAGAAACTTAGTCTTGCATGGAGAAAGATCATCAGAAAAGGAATAAATGAAGGTTCAATAACATGTTTGTTTTTCTTATTTTTAATAGCTCTCAAGCATAATGGTTTAAAGCAATAGTAACCTACTAGATGATTATGACACTTGGGCGAGTGTTCTGGATGGCAGAAGAAAGAACTGAAAATACTGTGAGTGGTGTGGACTGCTTGTGATACTGTCTAGTATTATTTGAAAATGAACAATTTATATTATAAATTCTAGGGAACTCACTAACTCCTAAGAAGTGTTAACACAGCAGATAAGATGAAGTAAAAAATAAAAACAACCCACCACTCAATTCAAACCAGAAAAGGCAGAAAATAAAAGGAATGGAACACAGTGTGCGACTTCAGAGGGGGTGTGCACAAACTCCAGCTGCCTCTGATTGCTTCTTCTCAACCCCTAACCTTCCTGTCCTAGTCTGACTCAGGCTGACTTAGAACTTTAGCCTGCTTTCTTACTATCTAACTGATGAGAAGTTCCATCAAGATCCCAAGAGATGCTATGGTCTAAGAACATCTTGTGATGGGTGGACTGCACAGGGTGTATGGAGATAGAGAACTGGAGAGACCAGCTATTGCAATAGCTCAGGTGAGAACTCCACCTGTGGTTAAGTGGCACACCTGCTAGGGTGTGGACAGCAAGGACCTCATCCTTATATTATCACACAGAACAAAGGACCCTTAAAAACAAAATGTAGTGACTATTGCATGGAGTATGTGGGGGAGTAAGGAAGTCTACGTGTTGTTCATACCCATGTAGTTTGCCTATGGAAACTTCACTTAGAAATGTCCCAAATACACCCTCATGCCTGTTGTAAAACAGTGTTGGATAACTTGAGACAATCTGCCTAAGAAAACTGTAGAGTTAAAAGGCAGGACTTGTCCTGGGAAGGAGAGATCTCCTAGTCCTGACATACGTGATGGTGATCAAGACCACACAATTTTCAGGGAACCAGGGTGCAGGGTATGGGGAAGAGCTGTGCTGGTTTCCAAGTTCAAGTTGGCCAGCATTTTTTTGGTTTCTACAATCTCAGAGGCCATTACTGGGAGTGACTCCTCTCCACACCCTGCTTCATCCTCTTGCTGTTTTCCTAAATGTTTTTTTTTTCTTTTTTCATACTAGCAGGTGGTTCACATGACTCTTGCAAACAATGAGGGCAATCTGCTGAGAGAAAACACAGAAAGGGGAACCTGGGGATGTTTCCAAGGAAGGGACCAAAACTCAGATGGAGTACCCAAGCCCCCTTGGCATATTCTCAGTCTCCTCCCCTATGAAAAAAGTTGAATCCTGATGGGACCTGTGAGGTTGAGCTCTGCCAGGGCTGGGGGTGAGTCAGCATGGGTAGCGGAGGACAATCTTGTACTAAGGCAGGAAGGGCCTCTTCCTCCAGCCGGGAGTAGGAATAATTGATCCTTTCTTCATGATTGGTGTGTGTGTTGCTTTTAGGTGCTGACACAAAGCCTTCTTTGATTTTGCCTGAATTTGAAATGGTTTGTGGAACAGAACCAAAGAAGGGTCAAGATGTTTGTCTGTCTTTTGGATTTGTGCCAAGCAAAAGAGTCAGCTGCAACTCCTGATCCATACAGATAAGAGACAGGAGAACAAGTCAAAGGAAGTACAGGATCTCAGTCAGGATTTTCAGGGTTTATTTTTATGTATTATTGTACATACTCACAGATTCATCCATAACACTGGGGGGTGAAGTCAGAGTTGCTATAGCAACCATAGTGCCTCAAGGCAGAAGCTCTGTTACCTAAGGGTCAAATGGAACTGGTACCTTGGAGGCAGGTGCTGGTCTGCATTTTCTCTTTTCTAGTCTCATCAAAGCCATACAGAAGAAGGGTCAGGGTCAGGCAGGTTCACAGATGAGTTAGGTCACCCAGGGAACCTCAGGAAAATGGGCTTGGTGGCCCTCTCTCTCCTTTGTGTGGGATAGTGTGAGGTCCTCTGAAACTCTGGGGATGGTCACTTCTGTGTGAGTGGTCAGTGAATGTCCCGCTTCTGCTCCTGTTTCCCCGTGGAGAGCAAACTTTCTCCCTTCAGTAGTTGGACTGTCTGGGCCTCTTGAACCTGGCCAGGGATGGGGGCAGGCTCTGATTGCTCCAGCTGCTTCTCCTGCTGCTCCTGTTGCTCCAGCAATGGCTCCTTCATCTCTCCCTGTTTCTCATCTCTCTTTTCTAACTCATGATCCAGTTGTGGGTCTAAGAGCCGTCGCGTCTCTTCCCGGGGCTCCTTTTGTGCTTTCTTTCCCTTACGTTGCTGATCTTGGCTTTCCGTTTCCTGATGGTCTTCATGCTGTGGAGGATGTGGCTGGTGATGTCCCAGGTTCAGTTCCTGCTCCTGTGACTTGTGCTGCTGCTTCTTGTCCACGTTCATTTCCTCTTGTGGTGATTCCTGCTGCTGCTTCTTGCCCAGATGCAGCTCTGGCTCTGGTGGTGGCTGCTGGCTCAGGCAGAGCTCTGGCTGCTTCAGGTTCTGCTCTTCTTCCTGTGGCTCTCGCTCCTGCTTCTTGCCCAGGTGCAGTTCTGGCTCCTGCAGCTTCTGTGGCTGCTGTTGTCTGAGGTGTGGCTGCCCTAGCTTCGGTTTCTGTTCCTGCGGCTCCTGTGGATGCTTCTTACCCAGGTGCAGGTCCTTCTCCTGTGGCTCCTGCTCCTGTCCCAGATGGAGTTTTTGCTCTGGAGGCTTCTGTTGCAGCTGCTGGTTGGAGGGCAGGTCCTGCTGCTGTTCCTGGTTTCGTTCCTGTTCCTGTGGCTCCTGCTGTTCCTTCCTGCCCAGGTAAAGTTCCTGCTCCTGCGGGTTCTGATATTGCTGCTGTACCTGGTGCAGCTCCAACTTCTGTGGATCTTGCTGTTGCACCTGCCCCAGCTCTGGTCCCTGTTTCTGTGGTTCTTGTTCCTGCTTCTTGCCCAGGCGCAATTCCTGTGGCTCCTGATGCTCCTGCTGACCCAGGTGCAGCTTCTGCTCCTGAGGCTCTTGCTGCTGCTGCTGCTGCTGACCCAGGTGCAGCTTCTGCTCCTGAGGCTCTTGCTGCTGCTGCTGACCCAGGTGCAGCTTCTGCTCCTGAGGCTCTTGCTGCTGCTGCTGCTGACCCAGGTGCAGCTTCTGCTCCTGAGGCTCTTGCTGCTGCTGCTGACCCAGGTGCAGCTTCTGCTCCTGAGGCTCTTGCTGATGCTGCTGCTGACCCAGGTGTAGCTTCTGCTCCTGAGGCTCTTGCTGCTGCTGCTGACCCAGGTGCAGCTTCTGCTCCTGAGGTTCCTGCTGCTGCTGTTTTGGACACAATTGCAGCATCTGCTCCTGAGGCGGCTGCTGCTGCCGCCCCTGGTGCAACTTCTGATCCTGCAATTCCTGCTGTTGCTGTCTCAGATGCCCCTCCTGAGGCTCCAGGGTCTGCTGCTCTTGCACACACTTTTGTTCCAGCTGTCCCTTTCCAGGGGTTGTGTGTTTCTCCTGGAGTTCTGAGAGGCCCTGCACTGGCAGCTCGGAGGGCATCTTCTGGCATGGGGCAGATAGTGGAGCTGGCTGTTTTACTTGCTCCTGCTGGATATGGGCTGGAGGAGAAACAGTCTTGAGGGATTTCTGACTGGTGACAGAAGAGACAGTCACTGGTGGTGTATGTTCCTGGGACATCTTAGAGGCAGTTGTAGGTCAACCTGAAAGCACAAGGGTAAGAGTGGCAGGTTAAAGGCAGAAAAGGAGATAAACCCATGGAAATCTACAGACTCCTTTCTCTTAGGCAGGGCACTTTCTCAGCCCCTTTAGGCTGTCATCCTCAGAAGCAGCAGGGAAGGAAGAGTGGGACTGAGGAGGGGCAAGGAAGTGCTTTTCTGGGAATTTCCTTATTCCCAGGCAAGAGCCAAGAAACAGACCTCTCCATTCTGCAAGGTGCACTGGGTATCATTTAAGCTTCGGTTTTTGTCTAGTCCTTGTCTACATCCTTATCTTGTACCTCTACTGACTAGGAAGGAGAGATGAGTTTTGGAAATATGTCACCACAAGAGAGAAGGTTTTAGGAAAAGTAAAACCTAGAGGAGCCTTGGGACCTTAAAAGCCAGTATGCTGGGCTGGAGGGGAACTGAGAGGTCAAGTCATAGCACCAGCCTCCTACTCAGTCGTCTAACATATTCTGTGTCTCCTTACTGAAATGCTGTGCATTTCTGGGCAAGTCACTTAGCTGTACTGGACCTCAGATTCTTGTCTCTGTAAAATTAACAGGTTGGCCTCTTCAGGCCTCTAGAGCCCTTTCCTTTCTCCTGACCTTCTTAATTTTAGCTGAATTCCTGGGGGTAAGAGAAAAAGGGGAGCTGGATGGTTGTTGAACATTGATGCTTGTTGTTTCAAGTCTTATACTTCTAAGTTGGAATTTCCTATCCTGGTCTGCTTGCGTTTCTCCAAATAAATAGTGCCACAACACCCAGTGACCTGAGCCCCCCCCCCAGAAGGAAAGATAATGTAACCAAATCCAGCCCCAGAACAATGCCCATGTCTACCAAGGATAGCCCACACTACCTGCCAACCCTGGTCCCAGCAGCCCACACTCACCAGACTGACAGTAGGGATGAAGACAGAGGTTTATGATAGAGTGCAAGGCTGAGCCAGGACACCCTTTATACCATTCCTGCCTACCCTCCTTACCAGGCTGGAGGTGAAGGACTGGTTTTACTGCTCCAGTTCATCCACTTCCCCCGGCTCTTTTCTGACTCACCATAGGTACCTGAAGCAGCAAACCCTTCAAGGCTCCTTTTCTTTTTTTTACCCTGCAGCTCCTGCCTGGCCAGAGGGTTCTGAAGGTTCACTGGCTCCTGTGATGCCCATCTGACCTGGTTACAGAGGAGGTTGGGGAGGTGAGGAAGGCATCCTCTTGTTTCGTGTCCTCAGCTCGACTTACCCTGTGAATTGCAATGGATTTATCCTCATGGCCGGGCTGAGGGGATTCAGTTCTAAGCGTGTGAAACAAAAAGGTTTATGTCTTTCTGGGAAAGCCAGCACAAGGTCTATGACATGTTAAGTGGTGGAGTTTGAGAGCCCTTGATCCAGAACGTAGCTGTAATTCCTTTCTGGGGGGAATAAAAGGCTTCTACTCTTTCCCCTGCTGTGTGGTGATAAAAACTCCAAAGCCTGTTCATTCTGAACAACAACAAAGGGTAAGATGAAGTGCATTCCTTTTGTGATGATAAAACAAGTACTCTTGATGATTAGTTTTGGAAATGTGTAACAATATGAAGATCAGGCCAAATTGTCCCTTGCTTTCCCTAAACCTTATCTACAAAAATCAGAATAAGAAATCATTCAAACTGGGGACTTGAATCTGTTCCTCCCCAGGACCCTTGGTAACCTGCCATACATTAGTAATAAAGTCCAAATCCACTGCTGTGCTGTTGTCTTAAAGGCTTTGGGTGACCTGGATCCTGCCATTCTCTGGAGCCTTGACCCATGCCCATGCTTTCCTCCCCCTCCTCCCTCCCTCTCTCTCTCTGAGAGCTATACTCCTACCTCAGAGAGAGCCCTCAGTTCCTAGGACATTTCAGCGCTTCTTTCCTTTGAGCTGCTGGGTACCTGTTCTCCTTGTGTCAATATGGCCTTCCATGTGGCCTTGGCTCCAAGGCCCCTTTGAGTTTCAGTGTGTTGGGATCTGTCTGAGAGTTTCTTCTGGCCACTGTAGCTAAAGTGTTATTTTGTGGTTCATCTCATTTCACTAATAAAGACCTACAGCTCTTCTATTTGCGCTTGCTCATTTATTGCTCACCAGGCCTTACACTGAAAAATAAGCTACCTAAAAGCAGATGTGTATTTGGTACACCTGCCACATTTCCCACGACATCCCCAGAATCTTTTCAAAACCATCACATGCCTCCACAGTCCTATCAATGCTAGTTGAAGGAACAGTGAATCTCACCACCTGGAGATAAGCACAGTGTTCACACATGTTGATGTGTGTATACGTGGTATGTGTGTAAACCCCAAAGTGAACTGTGACTTGTCTCTCTTTTCACACTTGGTTAATGGCTTATATATGGAGCTCATTTCCTTAACTTCTCTGCTTTATAACCTAATTAAAAAAGAAGATACCAGAATGTGAATTCTGGGGCTAATTTTGAGATGTATCCTAGTTTTCTGTAGTTATCTTAAGAGGTAAACCAAGATGCCTATTTACAGTGTGAATTTGCTGTGTCCCTGGAGCTCAGTCTAGAGAGAACAATGGAGGACTTATAAGGGTCCTCTGGAATGTTTCCTTTCCTCATGCTTTCTCTTTGACTTGAGGTCTCCCGGGATCTTACACTGCTTCCCCAGCAGAGCCTGGACTGTGCCGATTCCTGAGGCAGAAAAAGCATCCCCCATCCGGCAATGAAAATGAATTGAGCATCCTTTCATGGGCACCAATGCCCTTCTTCTCTATTGTTGACCTCATCTGGGAGGCACCTGCCTCTTCCCGAGCCCAGGACAGCCAGTGCCTCAGCAGCAGACCCTGTTCAAGGAGGTCACACCAGTCTTATGAGTTTCCAGAGCATCAGTATCTGACAGATCTGCCTCCACCCTCTGATTCACAGCATAATGAGAGCTTTGAGAATATGGTGTACGTGTGTGTGTGTGTGTGTGTGTGTGTGTGTGTGTGTGATCACTGTACAAAGCTAGTACTAGGGGACATGGGAAGGAAGGTAAATAGAGCTCTGTGTGTGTGTGTGCATGCACGCACACACTCATGCATGCATGCATGTTCAGGAGGTGCTGGAGAAGCTCTGACCTTTTAGGGCTCAAAGGCCCCCCGTGGTAGCCTGAGGTTGCCCCATTTAGGAGTCAGGAAGGCATGTATATGGGGCAGACTCTCAGGGCCTGTGATCCACACGATAAATCCAAGTAACTGTCAAGCCCCCGCACAGTGTAACGAGGATGAGCTCATACTCCATGACACATGAAGAAGCCTTGACCCAGCCTTGCCCTGGCCCCAGGAAGTCCTGTCTGTTTCTTCCAGAGGCTGAAACTGTATGGTTTCTCTGTTTCTGTCACTGTCTCTCAGAGGTAACACATTTGAAGTGATCATTAGTCATGAGAGGGGAAGGGATTGGGCATTGCGATTCATTGCCCTAGGAGGCAATGATTTTGAAGACAACGTTTAGCAAGTTGCCAGTGGGGTCATGGCAGATGAGCCTGGGAAAGTGGCTTGCACCAGATCTCTTTTCCATCTTGGGTAGCCATGCCTCATCTGTTTCCTGGTATGTAAATGCTGGCACATTGTAGGTCAGTAACTTCTTTACCAATCTCCTCCTCTCTCTAAGGCATTGTCTCTGATCTCATCCTTCAGTTTGCAACCTATACTCTGCCTCTCTGCCCACCTTGAGTCCTCCTCATCTTCTTCCATGACTTCCTGAACCAGACCTTTGCCCCTCACTCATGTGCCCTCCTGCTGCTCAGGCAGCAGGAAGATGGGACCAAGGATGGGTCAAGAAAGTTGATCCTTCCTCTCTGGAGTTCTCAGTTGAGCTCTCTGATCTGACCTGCTTTTCTTTCCTGCATCTTCCTCTGACTGCCCACCTTTCCCTATTAGATTGCTGGCTCTCAGTTTCAGTCACTGATGCCAACCTTTTCTCTTGGTTTGGGGAGCTGAATAAAGATAGCTACCATTTTGCTCTTGATAGCAGCAAGTAAAATAAAACATGAATAGCTCTCGACAGGAGAAGAAGGAAGATGCTTGATTGCTCCATCCTACACCTAAAAGGAATGCCCTTGCCCTTGAGTTCATTGTCAGAGAAATCACATTCTCCATAGTTGATTCTCTATACCAGAAGACAACAGAATATCTGAGATGGGGGGAGAGGTCTTCGAAGAATACAAGGGAAATCTCATATAGGAGCATCTCTATTGTCTAGTTATTATTAATAATACTTGATAATGATTTAAATTCAGGATAGGAACATTCCTAAAACAGGAAGCAGATTAGTAGCCAGAACAGGGGAAAGGGATTATGAAGAGTAACCCCCTAATGTGTATGGAGTTTCCTTTGGGGAAAGGTATTTGTCTTCATCAGTTTCTTTTGATGAAAGTTTTATTGAGGTTTTACCATATGTGAGTGTACTGAATGACAGTGAGCTATTCACCTTAAAATGGTTAATTGGCTGGGTGACAGTGGCTCATGCCTTCAACCCTAGCTACTCAGAGGGCTGAAATCTGAGGATCATGGTTCAAAGCCAGATTGGGCAGAAAAGTCTGTGAGACTCTTACCTTCAATTAACCACCAAAAAGCTGGAAGTGGAGGTGTTTCTCAAGAGGTAGAGAACTAGCTTTGAGCATAAGTGCTCAGGGACAACTCCCAGGCCCTGAGTTCAAGCCCTAGGACCATCTCTCTGTTTCTTTCTTTCTTTCTTTCTTCTTTCTTTCTTTCTTTCTTTCTTTCTTTCTTCTTTCTTTCTTTCTTTCTTTCTTTCTTTCTTTCTTTCTTTCTTTCTTTCTTTCTTTCTTTCTTTCTTTCTTTCTTTCTTTCTCTCTCTCTCTCTGTGTGTCTCTGTGTCTCTGTCTCTCTCTCACACACACAAGTTAATTTTGTTTTAAGTGAATTCCACTTAAATTAATAAAATGAGTAACAACTTTCCTTAAAAAAGCAAGTCACAAAATAAAGTGGTCAATGATGGTTGCAT